ATCTCCATCATTCTAGATGTCATAGTTCATGAATAAAGGATATCAAGAAACAGTAGTCCATACTCATTTAGTTAGAATATTGTATTGTCTACTAACCAGCTTTATCATAAATATTTAATTTTTGTAAGCTTCACTTATAAAAAACAAATACCAAACACTTCAAAAACACCAAATCCTAACTATAAAAGAGTTGCATTATGTGAAACTCACATGACATAATTAACTAATATGTTAACATTAAAATGTCCATCTAATTGTTGTTAAATATAAGCAGCACTTCAATTTTAGGTAAAAAAATATTCTTATATCATAGATTTTTTTCTTCACCCAACAACTGACCACCATTAAATAAGATTTTATTTACGTTATATATAATGATATTTAAAATTTTTGTCTCTTAAGCCCTTAGTAACACACTTCACACTCTTTCTTCCTCCACTTCTTAAAACGTTTCCAAATAAGGACTACCTTAAAATTCCTAGCTACAATCATACCTGGGTGCTTTCTCTACAGTTTGTAGTCCTGATGTTTTAGGGATCCACATACTTTTCCACACACCATACTTCTGTGGTTTATCCTGAGTATGAATCCTCTAGTGTTTTCTTAAGGTGATTATAACCTCCATTTCTTTGCTACACACAACACAACTGTAGTTTCTCCCCACTATATGTCCACTGAAGTGTTAAGATTTAATTCTAGTGTGTATCTTTTGGTGTTTTCTGAAGCTGGTATCAAATACAAATTCTTTGTTACACACTATACAACTATATGGTTTCTCCCCAGTATGTAACCTCTGATGTTTCTTTAGGTAACTCTTTGTTCCATATTCTTTGCCACAGATTACACAGCTGTACGGTTTCTCCCCAGTGTGTATTTTCTCATGTTTCTTTAGGTAACTCTTTGTTCCAAATTCTTTGCCACAGAGTGCACAGCTGTATGGTTTTTCCCCACTATGTACAATCTCATGTCTTTTTAGGTAAGTATTTTTTCCAAAATTTTTTCCACAGATTTCACAACTGTATGGTTTTTCCCCAGTGTGTATTCTCTCATGACTCTTTACATCACTTTTCCTTCCAAATGTTTTGCCACATACTACACAACCATAAGGTTTATCCCCAATATGTATTATCTCATGGCTTTTCAGTTCACGTTTTGACACAAAGTCTTTGCCACACCCTACACAACTGTATGGTTTTTCTCCACTGTGTATTACCTCATGTTTTCTTAAGTTACTATTAGAAACAAATGTTTTACCACATACTTTACAATAATATGGTTTTTCTCCAGTATGTATCCTCTCATGATTTCTTAGGACACTCTTTGTTCCAAATGTTTTGCCACAAACCAAACAACTCTTTAGTTTCTCTCCAGTGTGTAAATTCTCATGAACCTTTAGGTCACTATTCACTCTAAATTTCTTTTCACATATTTCACAACTGTATGGTTTTTCTCCAGTGTGTATTCTCAGATGAATTTTTAATTTACTATTTGTTCCAAATGTTTTGAAACATACTGTACAACTATATGGTTTTTCTCCAGTGTGTATTGTCTTGTGTATTTTTAAATTACTATTACATACAAATTTTTTACCACATACCTTACAACAGTATGGTTTTTCTCCAGTGTGTATTCTCTGATGAATTTTTAATTTACTATTTGTTAAAAATTTTTTGCCACACACTGAACAGCTATATGGTTTCTCTCCAGTATGTATTTTCTGATGAATTTTTAAATTACTGTATGTTCCAAATACTTTCCCACAGAGTGAACAACTGTATTGCTTCTCATCATTATTTGGCATAACACATTGTTTCAGGTTATTTACATTTAAATTCATTTTTCGAAATACGTCACTGTTTGGTTTCAGAGACTTGTTGACCTCTGTTTCCATAAAGGGATCTTCTTGTGTTAAAACATGATCACCAGCAAACTGATTTCCAGAAGAGGTGTTCACATAGGTCTTTATATCTAAAATAAAAAATACAGATGTGAAAAATAAAGTTATTGATAAATACACCATACATTATTTTGACAAACTCCATATAGCATCTAAAACATAAAATGGGATGTTTATAAAATGAAGATAACAGACCAGATTCAAAGGAAGGTTTTTAATTTGAACAGATATTGCCACAATAACCAACATTACTTTCAGCCAGTAACTCCTGGATTAATATTAATAAATTTTATCTGTCTGTTGATATGTTGTGCAAAGCTACATGAGAGCTAACTGTTCTAGCCATACATAATTTTGAAGTAGCAGGATAGACGGAAGGTCACCAGTCAATATCACCTACAGCTAACTCTTGTCATGTCAAAAGGTGGGGTTTAACTGTCACTTTTATATCACACCCATAGATGTAATGGGAGATGAACCACACTTCAGCATATTAACTATTGGGCAATGCTTAGTACATTTTGAAGATCAGTTATTTTATTACTTCAAGTGATAATTACCATAAAATACTTATAACTTTTTAATTTAACGTGTTGACTAAAATATCTATATCTATATGCAAGTTAAATATCTAGAAATGTCAACATTTTGACAAAATAAAACTATATCAGTATGATATCTATTATTTTATCAAATTCAGGACAGAATCATCTGTCCCACTGCAAGACTCATAATGTGGGCACTGTCAGCTTCTTCAAAGTAGCAGACACAGCCCAAATTACAGGACCCAAAATTCATACAAGCAATCCCAAGTACTAAAAGTAGTCCAAATTCTACTTTTGATATCCTTATATACTTCTCAATAGCCAGATGTCCTGTCTAGTACACTAAACCAATAAGTTCCTTTCATCATATCACTGTCTTTCCACAGCAGTGGTAATGAAATGATATTTGTGACAGAACTGACATGTGATAATTCTAATTTCTGAGTTTCCAGTATTCACAACTTAACCAATGACTGCTTGCATGCCAGGTGAGGGCTCTACTAACTGAGGTAAAGGATTACCACACAAGTAACTTTTGGTAAGTTACTTTATTAATAATTAACTACCATGTTCTTCATCTCTAACAAACAAACCACATCATTTTTACTTATCTCGTTCTGACCATTTAAATTACTGTGACTCCTGCATGCAGGATGTGAACTTGAAACACTTACACAATAATAATGAGTTTTAACAAAGTAACTAGAAATACAGATGTACCTTGTGTACTGGAAAATAAATGAGTGATTGTTTAGATTTATTTGTGAAGTTAAGTCTTTCTTTAGTTTGTGAAATCTTGCAAGTTATAAAACCTGTAATATAAAAACATAATAATTAATATTAAATATTTACTTTACAACAGTTCTGTAGAACTTGACCAATAGGCGTTTTAGCAAAATCAAGAAATGGGTTTGGATGGCAAATGCATAAAAGCCATTGTTGGAACATAGTGTTACCAAACCACACTGGCTTTTCTATATATTAGAAGTTGTTAATCTAACCGATTTTTACCAATAAATATTCTATGAATAAGCCACAAATTCATTTCATGAATGATCTTAATTTTGATTGGCTCACGAAGGAATTTACCAATGTTTGGCTGCCTCAACTGCACTTTTCTGCCTCTTTGTTGGTGAAGCTTGATTTTGGAAAATTTATTTATTTCAGTTAGTTATTTTAGTTAGAAATGTGAGGTTAGGGTATACTATGAGCTATATGCTAGTTTAATATTAATAATATAATACTTCTATTTCAAGATTTCTAGTTGGATGGCAGTAAATAAACAAACTAATTTCCTGACTATAACAACACAACATAGTATGGTGATCATGCTCAGAGTGAGAATAAGCTTTGATGGGGATGGCATGTACTCCTGGATAGCTCAATGGCAGAGTTAAATGTCCTGATTCAAACTGTGGTCCTGATGTCTCTATTCAATTAAATATCTAATATCAATTATTACAATAATATTTATATTTCACGACTTCCTATCAGATTTGAAAAATATTAATATGTAAGTCTAGTTACATTTCTATAACCCTAAGCATATAACCTTTTTTTGTTTTACAAAGTTACATCCAAAATTTAATTAAACTACTTTATCATGAACTTATGTCAGTATAAATGGCATCAAAAAGGAGTTTAATAATTAAATTTTTTATATTATCTAAGTATTAATTATTATAAATTTCAAAAGAAAATATTCAAATAAATTCTCAATCTTCATTTTCCTTTACCACATGATACATCTGCGCTTTGAATTTACATTTTAGTTTGTCTTTCTACCTTAATTATAGTATCATACTACACAGCCAGAATATATAATTTAAACATTCAATCTTCTTGCTTTACTCGTATCACTATATTTGGGACACCCATCTTGTCATTCAAAATATATCTATAATTCTCTCCAACATTGCTAAAGGACATGTTTGTAACCACTAGACAGAACAAAATCCAATATCCTGCCCTCATGTATTTCTTTATATTTTAGCAGAAATGATTGTAGTTTTGAAGAAAATATTATATGTTGAATGAAGTAAATGTTCTGAGCAACTAACAGAATTTTTTAACCTATTTATAGCTTAGCTAGAAAGGCAGTTAAATTATGGTAGTTCTGGGACATACTATTATATCACCTAATATGTTTATTGTGTTCTAAAATCTCTATCTGAAAACAACATGAATTATTTTATGGACAACTTATTAATGTAGATTCTCGAGGACAAACAGATCAATAGCTAATGTAAATGGTGTATTTCTTGTTGTTTTTTTATGTTTAAATTTTATTTATTGTGACTAAAATGTAAAAAAGTAGGAATTTATTAAGTTAGATAAGAATACCTAGATGAAAAGATGAAATTGAGACATTTCTTGTGATCGCTCATTCAGTTCACTTATGTAATTTACATAGTGTCAGGCCACATGATTTAACTTGATCCAATTGTTTACATTAAACTGTCTTGCTGTGCTATACTGTGCTTCCTATAATGAGAGATGTCTAATAGTGCTGTGAATCAATACAACTGATATAAAGCAGGTGTAAAAAGTGGTTAGAAAGCTTAGATTATAGTGAAAATAATTGTATTTGTCTGTTACAATGTACAGTACTTCTAGACAAAAAAAAAGCGGGAAGGTATTTTTAATTTTATTTCATATTCTTAAACTTTTCATTTCATGTACACTAATATCATTTAGGTTTTAGAAGTTATACAAATGAAAACTGTAAGTTGAAAATGATTATTTTTATTCTTAGCATTAAAATCGCCTTTCACTCAAACTGACACATAAGTTCAAAGAAAATCATTAATAAAGATACTTTATCCAAAAATCTGAATTTTCTGTTTACAACAGGCTGGTAATATTTACAACTGACCAAATTTTGTGAAGATACACCTAGTACAATCAGAGTTATAGTATGTATAATTTGAAGGCTACAAAATGACAAAGCCCATATACACAGAAATTAAAATTTTCTTTACCTAAAAATGTATTTCTGACAGATACCTCTGCATACAAAATAACTTGATCCCTAGCACAACTGCGTATGAGACTTGCATGTTACGAGCTTTGAGCCAACTCCCACCTAAAAATTACCTGTTTAGCATAAATTGCACTAGTGCATGATGACATAATCAAGCGACAATAGCCCTCCACTAAAAAAAGAGAGACACAACCTCTTTGCACAGTAACTCCCCTTAAGTACTTTTGCCTGACATAAATTTATTCTTAGATTAGACAAGAAGAAAGTGCACCAGAAGTTGGAGGATGGATTGGAAGGTGTGAAGAGATGAGTATCTATCAGAAATTAAGGAAAATGTTAATTACTGAGACAATACCTCACCTCCCTCTAGAAAGCCCAAATGTTCACAAGTGGAGAGTCACTTCCTTGGTGCTGGTTTTTTTTCATGATATGGTATGATCTGAATTGAGTAAGTTTAATTTCATGAGGATACATCTAGTGATCTTGTGGAACACCTATCTTGACAGTAAGCTGTGATAGAGCCAGGGCAGATGGGTTTTTGAGCGCTTTCTGTTAGCCCTTGTCCAATGCGGATTTTGAGAAATAAGCATACCTTGGGAGGCAACACTTGCCACCTGTTGGGATTCTATGAGAGGGAAGATGGAGATGAAGAAGAAAATTTACTTACCTTTCTCAAAGACAATTTGTAAATTGAAGAATAGGGACTGGAGGTAGTTGAAATCCAGCAGGAGGCAAAACAACCAGATGATGAAGATAAGGAAGACAAATGTGTGAAGATTCATCAATATGCCAGCTTGAAGGACCTTGTCCAAGGATTTGTGAAAATGAGATTCAAGAAGGTGAAACAGGTGACAAATTGGATGCAACAAAATGTGAAAAAGCTTTTGAGCATCAATATTCATGGAAGAATACACCAACTGGAGAAGTTGGCAGACCCATCCAGACAGAGCAGGAGGCAATAGGTCCCTGGATGAAGATGGGTCCAAAGACAGAAACAAAAGATGATGGGAACCCTGAAAACGAGATGTTCACACAGAATAACATCACAAGCTGGATCTGAACAAGCATAAAGATAAGAGATAGAAGGGAGGAAGATAGGAAAGAAAGATGTCTGGTCTAAGTAAAGTAAATGAGTACAAGGAAAGAAAGTACAGAAAACATCGATGGCATATGTATCTGAATCACACTGCCCACAGGTGAGAAGAAAGTATGTCTTTAGAAAAACATGGTATAAAAAACAGGAAAGCAACAGTTCATATAGATTGGTTGGTCATGATCCACTTTGAAAATTCCATGGTCTTTTCTTAATTAATCAACCATCCAGAGAATACATGCCCAACAAACTGCAAAAAATTCGAGTATGTTGATGTGAAGTAAATGCTCCTCCCAGCCCTACAAGAAAGTCTCTGTGAAGAGATGGAGATTCAGACTGGAATAACAAGGGAATGCCCACTGCGTTATTGGCATGATTGAGCCATCAAGACAGGTTCCACTGGTGTCACAATGTCCACTGAAGGAGATGAATGTGTGCTTGGCCTAAAGGAATGAGTGGGTCTAGTGAAGCCAGAGTTCCCAAAAGCAAAATAACTTCATGTGCAGGCTATAAATGATAAGTACAAATCTTGGTGTCAAGACATTCCATTCCTTGCCAATGAAGAGGTGATGGAGTGTTCAAGAACACACTGAGATGTATAAAGTATTGGATAGGCATGAGAAAAGACTTGAAATGTTTGACTAGCTAGCCCAGCCAAACAGACTCCTGCAGAATAATGGAGGTGTGAGAGGAGTGCTCTCTAGAAGGGGCAATGAGAAGTCAATTAATTGTCCAGGTAATTTACGGAATCTCAACCCCAATCCATGAATAGGGCAAAAAAATGCCCATACAATTCAACCGAAGACATAAGTAGCAGATGCAATGCCAATGGAATGAACATAGAACTTGAAAAATCGTTTCCATTGGATGAAATGGAAAAATATCTGAAGAATGGGGAAATCCAACTGTGTAAAAAAGTGTCTGACACGTTGACCTTGGTCATCCGCAGACTGTGTGAAAACGATCACTGGTAAGAATAGAAACACTCCATTCAGAACCACAGAATGACTAGAAAGCAGTTGAAAGACAAGAGGGTGACAACCAGACACCAGTCCTTGGTCTTCTTCAGGACCAGAAAAGATTAAAATAATATCCTCGAATCAGGTAAGTACTCTATCGATGGCATTCTTGGCCAAGAGATCTGAGACAGCATTCTCGAGATGCTGAAGATAAATGGGCTTGAATGGAGTAGGAAAGGAAAAGGAGAGAGAAGAGGAAGAGAAGCTGAGAAACAATCCAAGGGTAAGGACCTGAAAAAAAACCATCTGTCAGCCAAAAATGTAGACCAAAGGTTGGCGAAAGGAGAAAAACAAGCACCCACTGGGCCAGACCCAACAAGATGTGTGATGACCTTGATGTCATGAATTGGGAAGAAGAAGAAAATAGGAAGCAGGAATGGGAAGGGGAGATGTGGATTTAGCAAGTATATGAACGGGAACAGAAGGCGTAGTTGAGAAAAATATAAAACCAAAGAAGACAACAAGGATAGATTTCCTGGTCTCCAGAGAATATCAGGAAAACAATCAAAGACCTATGAGAAAAGAAAAGGAGATCAACAAAGATCATGTAGATAAAAGTGAAGCAGGTAAACATTAGTTATGAGAGCATCCAAACCCAACAAGTACCAACAGCAGAGAAACTAAATAAGAATGGAGAGAGCAGTAGTAGTAGTAGTACAGGCTAAAGTAGTATAAAGGAGAGAATAAACTGGATACTGCATTAATTGAAAACTGTTACTTCCTGTTTTTTTTTTAATCTTTTGAAAGTGTTTCTTATATATAAAGATCTAAAAATTAAACTTAAAACGACAAATGTATGATAAAGGTTTTGATACATATCATTTGTCAAAGAGTCAAACGATGACCAGGGACATTGTGGATGTAAGAGCTAATTTTTGTATATAAACCCAGTAAACCCTTCAGGAGCATGATGAAGTACCTCAAAAATAAGGTGAATGGACAAAAGGTAACTAGAAAGGAAACAGATGTGTGAAAACTGGGCACTAGGAAGTGAACTAGAAGTTAGAGTCCATCCCCCAAGCAAGTAAAAGAGATTTCAAAAACTGAGAATCCAGGAATGGAAATGAAGAATGGCTGTAAGACTGAACAAAAGAGTCAAGTAGGCAAGGATGACAAGGCATGTGAGTATAGGTGCATTGTTCAAGAAACGAATCTAATATGGAGGGAAGACAAAATAATTTTGAGTATCAGTTTCATGTAGTAGAGAACAGGAGGAATTGAAATACACTAGAGAAAGAGAAAAAAAAGAACATATCTGTGAAGTCATGCCAAGAAAGAGATTAGAAAGTTGAAGCTTTTCCTCCACTGATAAAGCATTACCTCAATCAACTTCTGGTAGAGGAAACATGTTTAAACTGAGAAGAAGGAATGTCAGCAGAATGGATGGAATGAGAAGGTTCTGTATGCATTAAGGAACCCACAACTTGTTGAACAATGCTGTCATATCCTCACAGACAACAAGCCTCCAGTAGCAACAGTAGAAATTACTGTTACTTGAGAATTCATAATGGATAAGCAGGAAAAAGAGTTTCTTGTTCTTTAGCAAAGACAGAAACAATTAAACTTGAAGGAAATTAAAGTTTTGAAAACTATTGCAAATCTCATATGATTAATTAATCATTTTAAATATGTCCATTAGAAACAATGCTGAGGAAAATAATGAACTTATTTCGAGCACAAGTGCTTAGGGGGAGTCACTGCACAAGAATGTTGTGTTGCCCTCTTACTGGTGGAGGGCTATTGTTGCATGATGATTGTCATCAGGCATAGTTCACATTAAATGTGATTTTTAGGTGGAAGTTAGCTCAAGGCTAGTCGAATGCAAATCTCATAGGCAGATGCACAATGGATCAATCTATTCTGTGTGTGTGGAAATAGGTGTCACCTCAGAAATAATATTTGGTTGGATGGTAGTTAATCAACTTGGGTGGTAGTAAATGGGCATTACGGGAAAGGCATGTATGCTTGGGTAGATTAGTGATAAAGCACTAACCTGTCCCAGTTCCAGTCTCTTTCCACTTATCAGCTTTGTCACTTAAATTTTAACATTAATTATTAAAATAATATAATATGACTATCTCAAAGTTTCCTAGCAGAAACAGCATTGCTATTTATATTTAATACTAGTTTATACACCCATCATAAGATGGGAAGAACGTTTTTAGTATCCCTTTTCTATTCATGTTGTAATTAAGTATGAAAATTTTCACAAAACAGAAATGTATGTTTTTAAGACCCAACATTTTCAATATTCAAAACATAAAGAATGTATCAAGACATTTCTAACGATATAATTTTAATTCTAACCACTATACTTGGAATTGTGAAAAATAAAACAAAACAAATAATTTGTCTTTGTACATTTCTTCTATTTGCTCATCTTCTAGCATGTCTTTCTGTATCTAAACATCATTTTTTTTTCAGTCTGCTCCCATGTCTCATTTTTGATTCTTCTTAATATGTGTTCATTGTCTAATATCCTTATTTTGGCTACATTTTTGGCACTTTGGCGAGCACGAAATCTTTGTTGTCTCTCTCGGTTTTGACGACATCTTCGCTCTTCTTTCGTTTCTTCTGCTATTTCTGTTGTTTCCATCTTAAAATATCAATTTTAATTTAAATCATTAACTTAAAAACAAAACAAAGTTTTGCTTTAAATAAATCTTCTACTTCATTTCTATATATGGATATAAATAGATATTATTCCTGTAATTAGATATCTTTTGTTAACATGCTGCTGTTGAAGTACAATAAATAACATTTATAAAACTAAAAATTACAATGAATATGGACTTTTTTTTACCTGTGATTCATTTATCCTAATTTTTGCTAATCTTTCTTGACTTTGTCCTGCCATACATTGTCTTTTTCTTTCTCTTGCTAATTGACGTTTTGTTTCTTGAAGTGTTTCATTGTTTCCATCCATATTAGGTATTTCTATTTAAAATTATAATTTATATTTAATATTATAATGTTGTTAAGAAATTGCAAAACAACTACAAAAATTAAAATAATAAAATGTTAATTAACTTTATCATGATATGATAAGTGAGCCCAAGGCACTATGCTTTTGTAATTAAGCCTGAAGTGAAGACATAGTGTGGAATCACATAGTCTAGGCCCAAGCACATAAAGTTTCTCATGAAAGAAAAGTATATCAATTGAATTTTAAACTTCTTTCATTTCTGAATTAAACTCTTTTTGCATGTCATATTCCCAAAGTTAAAAAAATAAAATATACTGAATTAAGGAATCAACAAGTATTTTTTTTCAGTTTCACTGTTGAGACATTTCATTTTACACTTTCACTACATAGACTAACAATAATATTAGGTCACACTTTTGATTCTAAGCAACATAGTGTCACGACAGCGGAAATCACATGACGCTAGTAACACGTCATGAGATTCTAGAAAGATCATGTCTGTTCGTGGTAACTCTAGTCTTTTCTATGCGCCCTCTATTTTTGTATATATATAACCCGGCAAATGAAGTGACAGCATAAAGATAATTGCAGATAGGCAGAGACAGAGACCTACAAATGAGTTAAGTGCGGTAGTGACCATAAGTGCGTGAATTGTTGTGAATTATAGCGTGTGTTTAAGTTAAAGTGACTGTGGAAAT